TGGTAGGTATCAAATCAAATCCTAATTTAATTAGATAACTCCTCATTTAATTGGGAATTGTGGTAGGAATCAAATCAATTCTCAACCTAATTAGTTAACGTTCCATTTAATTGGGTAATCCTTAATTAAATTGAGTAACTCCCAATTAAGTTGAATAATTCCCAATCAGGTCAAATAATCCCCAAATGGAAGGAATCATTTGACCTAAGGTCTGATTTAATTCGGTTCCCACACATGTTGTATAAATAATATGAATATCTTATAAAAGTATTCAGAGATGTAATTATGGTGTTTGGTGATAATTTTTTCTATGAGAATAATAAACTCTTACCAGAAAATATAAGCAGAAGATTGGAGAATCATTAATTGATTTTTCAACCATTTCTGAAAATAATAGTAAATACTCAAAATTTAAGAGCCATTTGATGCCTCTCAACTTGTTGAAAAAACGACACAAGTGCTGACTTCCAGTGTTGGATATTTTGGAAGTCTCTGGTTAGCTTTCTGTCCCTACACAGAGACAAAGTCAAAAATCACTGCTTCAAATTTACAGAAACTTAAAGTAGAAAGCAAACAGAGAGAGAAACATGAAGAATAAAAAGTAGGAGAGAAGGAAATTATGATTGAATCTCACTCTGATAAGGATAGCTGGGCTAATGCTTGTGACTTGTGTGAGTGCTCAGCCTTCAGTCCTGCTCTTCTCCTTTATATACCGATCTCTGCATGATTGCAGCTAAGTGTGAAAAGGGCCTTGTCCTGCTGGAGGTGCTAAAAAATGGTGCGGTCAATCGTAGGCCATTGGTTATCCTCTATCACAATATCATGATCAGATGAGACCAAATGGCATATTATTCTTATGTAATTTCAATTTGTGGAAGAGAAAAAAACAAACATTCCCAAAGGCTTGTCAATCTTTGACTGAAGTGTTTTTCAAATTCCTCAGCACACCAATCTTGAGTTTTCCATCTTCATCTAAACAGGACCATAGAAAGAGACCATGTTGCAGATAAAGCCTCAAGCTCTGAACAGTGTTGTTTCTCAAACAAAAGCCATGAGAGCTTCAACTTATGATAAGGTATGCTCTCTAGCTTATTGCCTTATCTTGTATGTTCAGCTGGTTTCATCATCAACCATTGTTTTTGCTTCTGCCATTTCTACTGAAACAGATGCTCTTCTCAAATGGAAAGCCAGCATTGAAAACCAAACCCAGCTCCAAAATCTAACCTCATGGACTTATCTTCCAAGTAACAATGCCATCAATTCTTCAAGCAATCCAGAAACAAATGAAAATCCATGTAATATTTGGAGTGGGATTTCCTGCAACACTGCTGGAAGTATCAGCAAGATAAACCTTACCAAGTTTGGTTTACAAGGTACACTGCATGAATTTTCATTCTTGTCCTTTCCCAATGTTGAATATATTGATCTTAGCAGGAATAAGATATATGGTGCCATCCCACCTCAAATCAGCTCCCTCTCCAAACTCATCTATCTTGATCTCTCAGATAATAAGTTGTCAGGAAAAATCCCACCAGAAATTGGTTTCCTAACAAATCTTCAGAACCTGTACCTATATACAAACAAGCTAAATGGCTCAGTTCCTCAAGAAATAGGCCAGCTTAAGTCTCTTGTTGTTCTAAATCTCATGGAGAATAGACTCAGTGGTCCTCTTCCCACGTCAATTGGTAATTTGAGCAAATTACAATTTATACAACTACGCGATAACCAACTCTCAGGTTCCATTCCTCAAGTGATAGAAAATCTCATGAATTTGGTTGTGCTGAGACTTGCCAGAAACAACTTCACTGGTCATTTGCCACAGAACCTTTGTCGAGGTGCATTGCTTGCAAATTTCACTGCAAATGGCAATCGTCTCATAGGTCGAATCCCCGAAAGCTTGAGAAACTGCACAACCTTATACAGATTCCGCCTCGATGGAAACCAACTCACTGGAAATATATCTGAAGATTTTGGTGTTTATCCAAACTTGGATTACATAAATCTAAGCAACAATAGATTTTATGGTGAACTTTCACATAAATGGGGGAGGTCTCTGCAGCTAACAAACCTTGAGATTGCAGGGAACAATATTACTGGCTCCATACCACCTGAGATTGGAAACTTGACTCAACTGCATTTGCTTAATCTTTCTTCAAATCATTTAGTTGGGAAGATCCCAATGGAATTTGGAAGTCTGACTTCTTTGGTGAAGCTTATATTGAATAACAATCAGCTTTCTGGTGGTATACCTCAAGAACTTGGATCATTGACTGACCTTGAGTATCTTGACCTGTCCACTAACAAACTGAGCCAGTCAATTCCAAGTAGCCTAGGGAATTTTGTGAAAATGCACCACATGAATTTGAGCTGCAACAAGTTGAGCCATGGAACCCCAACTAAGTTGGGTAGGTTAGCACAGCTGTCTGTGCTAGATTTGAGTCATAATTCTCTTGCTGAAGAGATACCAACTGAATTTAGCAAGTTGGGTAGCTTGGTGACACTAAATCTCTCCCACAATAACCTCTCTGGTGTTATTCCAGAGAATTTTATGGAACTTCATGGCTTGGAGTTTGTCGACATATCATACAATCAATTAAGGGGTCCTATTCCACACAACAAAGCATTTCAAGAGGCTCCCATAGAAGCATTGCAAGGGAACAAAGCTTTGTGTGGCAATGTTACAGGTCTACACCCCTGCAATAATAGTCCTGTTGAAAAGAAGCATAACTCAAAAATTGGTTTCAAAGTTCTGTACTGCTTGATCATGCTTCCTGTGTTGGGAGCATTTATGCTTACTTTCTATGGAATTTTTATTACTTCGCGAAGAAAAAGGGAAAGCCAACAAGAAGAAAGTGACATTCACCCAAAAGAATTCGAATTGCGTGCAATATCAATCTTTGATGGAAAAGTATTGTATGAAGAAATTATAAGAGCGACTGAGGATTTTGATGCTGCATATTGCATTGGGAGGGGGGCAGTTGGAAGCGTATACAAAGCAAAGCTGCCCTCAGATGACTTGGTAGCTGTCAAGAAATTCCACATTCCATGTGATGGTGTGTGGAGAAAAGAATTCTTAAACGAGGTAAGGGCATTAACTGAGATACGCCATCGAAACATTGTCAAACTTTATGGTTTCTGTTCACATGCACGGCACTCGTTTTTGGTTTATGAGTACCTTGAAGGGGGTAGTTTGTTTTCAATCTTGTGCAATGATGAAGAAGCTAGGAAATTGGATTGGATTAAAAGGGTGAACATCATTAAAGGTGTGGCTCATGGTTTATCCTATATGCACCATGATGTGTCTCTGCCAATTGTTCATCGAGACATATCCAGCAAGAACATTTTGCTAGACACTGAATATGAGGCTCGCATTTCAGACTTCGGAACTGCTAAGATTCTAGATTATGAATCATCAAACTGGACTGCGGTTGTAGGCACAATTGGATACATAGCACCAGGTACAATTCAACATCTTGTGTTGTTTTCATCAGATGGTTTGGATTTACATTCTTGGCAACATAATATGTCACATACTGTCTGACTTGAGAGCATTTCCCCTGTATGCATTGTTCTCTTAACTTCTCATATGAGCATCTCTCTCCTAAAATATAAAACTTATGTTTACCCTTTTTGGCAGAGCTTGCTTACACATTGAAGGTGACAGAGAAATGTGACGTCTATAGTTTTGGGGTGTTAGCTCTTGAAGTGATTAAAGGAAAGTACCCTAGCAATCTAGTGGGGTCTGTGTTGTCATCTGCAATCTGGGGAGGCAAAATGTTGGGGGATGTGTTGGACGATCGCCTTGCGCATCCCACTGGTAAAATTCTGGATGAAGTTGTTACCATCCTAAAGCTAGCAGTTGCATGCTTACATGAAAATCCAGAGTTAAGGCCTACCATGCATGACATTTCTTGTAACAATACAAATCTCCCATACACAGAAAGACAAATAGAGGGTTAACTTGAGTTTAGTTGAAACATTTAAACAGAAGGATGTTAAAGCCATTTTTTGTATCTTAACCAGCTGCCACCAAATCATTGTAATTACTAATATTTAGGCTTTGTGAGTTCTTCATTTTGTTGTAATCATATATACAGGCTCTCCTTGAGAGATGGATAACAAGCAATAATTATTTTCGTACATGGTATGACATCAGATTTGAGCATTTTTCGTCACCAAATTGCCTATTGTTATTGTATTAGTTTCGTTTCATTTTCAATGATAAAATGTGCTGTTTGTATGCATACAACATCAAATTGACCGGAAGTGTTGACGATGGAGGAAGACACCTTTAAAGTTAGAAGTCTTAACTCTGAATCTCAAAGTCTACTGTGAATTTAATATGCAAACAGAGAGTAATAGAAAATGGCATTATCATTGTTACCAAAACAAAAACAATGAGATCTACAACTTATTATGACCAAGTATGCTCTGCTCTCTAGCCTGCACTCTTCTTGTTTTCAAGAAGACTGAAATGTTTGGCTACCCTTTTATACCATATTTTTGCAAGGGGGTTCTGGTTTTTAGCAAGTTCAAATCTTGCCTTTCCCAAGTACTTGCTTTTTTCAAAGAGATGAACAATATATGTGGTAGTATAATTGAAATTATCAACCTCCGAATTGCTTGTTAATCAAGCATGCCCTTATGTCAATACACTAATTTATTAGTAATTTGGTACATGCAGCATAGGGTATATTTAAAAGAACCACTAGCTATAATTGAACTTTCAAATTGATTTGAAGACTATGACTTCTTTATATATTTTTGCTTGGTTTGACATTGTACAGGTAGCCGGTAAGTCAGTATCTCCTCACATGTGAAATTATTTGTGTACATTCAAATTTGAAGATAAGAAACAAAGACTTTGACTAAAAGTGTCTGAAGAAAATTCCAAATGGGAAATAAAATAAATCATTAAGAGGAAGAGAGTTTTCAAGCCTGTGATGCCTCAAGTCTATAACGCATCAATGAACAAAAAGCCCTGAAATTGAGAAAAAACCATGAGATTTTTAACTTGCTATGATAAACTAAGCTCTCTAGCTTATTGTCTTATCTTGTTGTATGTTCAGCTTATTGCCTCTAGTTCTGATGAAGCAGAGGCTCTCCTCAAATGGAAAGCCACCTTCCAAAATCAAACCCAGCTGCAAAATCTAACCTCATGGACTTACCCTCCCAGTAATGTCAATTCCACCAACTCTTCTGGCAATCCGTGCAATATGTGGACTGGTATTTCATGCAACACAGCTGGAAGTGTCAACAGGATAAACCTTACCAATTCTGGTTTACAAGGTACATTACACGAATTCGCTTTCTCGTCTTTCCCTAATCTTGAATATCTTGACCTCAGCATCAATAAATTCTTGGGTTTCATCCCACCTCAAATCAGTTCCCTCTCCAAACTCATTCACCTTGATCTCTCTTCTAATCAGTTTTCTGGGAAAATCCCATCAGAAATCGGTCTCCTTACAAATCTTAAGTTCCTGAAACTACATGAAAATAAGTTAAATGGCTCAATTCCTCAAGAACTTGGCCAGCTTAACTTTCTTAATGAACTTGCCATGTCCACCAATAATCTAGAGGGCTTAGTTCCTGCTTCTCTGGGTAGTATGAGTTACCTGACTTCTCTGCATCTTTATGACAATCACCTTTCTGGTTCCATTCCTCCAGAACTTGGAAATCTTTCTAATTTGGTTGAACTCTACATGGACACCAACAATTTCACCGGTCCTATTCCTCGAACTTTTGGAAACTTAAAAAAGCTGACCATGTTGCATTTGTTCAACAATCAACTTTCTGGTTCTATCCCTTCAGAAATAGGAAATTTGAAGCCTCTAATAGAATTACTCTTATATAGAAACAATCTTTCTGGTTCAATCCCAACACATTTAGGTTATCTGGCAAACCTTACCCTTCTCTTTCTCGATGAAAATAAGCTTTCCGGTACAATTCCTAAAGAGATAGGGAACCTGAAATCTGTTCTGGAAGTACACTTGAGCAAAAACTACTTAACAGGTCCTATCCCTCCAATTTTTGGTAACTTAAGAAAGCTAAAAGTGCTATACTTGTTCGACTGTCAACTTTCTGGTATCATACCTTCAGAAATAGGAAACTTGAAGTCTCTAGTAGAATTATTCCTTTACAGGAACAATCTTTCTGGTTCAATCCCGGCATGGATTGGTGATATGAGAAATCTTACACATGTCAATCTGTTTGGAAATAAACTTTCCGGGGCTATTCCTAAAGAGGTTGGGAACTTGAAATCTATGGTGGATCTAGACTTGAGCCAGAATCAACTCAACGGTTCAATTCCCACTTCATTTGGTGGTTTGAGAAACTTGGAAGTCTTATCCCTCCGTGACAACCAACTCTCTGGTTCAGTCCCCCAAGAGATAGAAAATCTAGTGAAGTTGACTCTGTTGTATTTAGATACTAACCAGTTTTCTGGTTATTTGCCCCAAAATATTTGCCAAGGTGGATCACTCACAGAATTTACAGCAAACAACAACCATTTTGTTGGTCCAATCCCCAAAAGCTTAAAAACCTGCACCACCTTATCCTTTGTCCGCCTTAGTTGGAACCAGTTGACAGGCAATATATCTGAAGACCTTGGTGTTTATCCGAATCTTCAATCTATGGATCTAAGCCATAATAACTTAAATGGTGAAATCTCACACAAATGGGGACAATGTGCACAATTAACAACCCTACTAATTGCAGGAAACAACCTTACCGGCAGTATACCACCTGAGATTGGCAATGCAACCCTAATTCATGAACTTGATATTTCTTCAAATAGTTTAGTTGGGATGATCCCAAAAGAATTTTGGAGACTGACTTCTTTGGTGAAGCTGATGTTGCAGGGGAATCAACTTTCAGGTCGTATACCTTCCGAATTCGGATCACTGATTGATCTCGAATATCTTGACCTATCCACAAACAAGTTCGATGGGTCAATACCTAGCACTATAAGTGACTTGTACAGATTACACTACCTGAATTTGAGCAACAACAAGTTTAGTCAAGGAATTCCTTTTCAGTTGGGAAAGCTAGTTCACTTGTCCCAACTAGATTTAAGTCATAACTTGCTTGAAGGTAAGATACCTTCAGAAATAAGCAACATGGAGAGTTTGGAGATGCTCAACCTTTCCCACAATAATCTTTCTGGCTTTATTCCAATGAGTTTTGAAGACATGATGGGTTGTCGTATGTTGACATATCCTACAATGACTTGGAGGGTCCCCTGCCCAACAGCAGTGCATTTCGGAATGCTCTTCCGGAAGCATTGCTGGGGAACAAAGGACTGTGCGGCAACATTGGAGCTCTGAAATCCTGCAAACATAACTCCAAAAAGGACCGTAAAGTCATATTTTTAATCTTGTTCCCTCTTCTCGGAGCACTTGTACTTCTACTTGCTCTCTTTATGTTTGCTTTTCTGATAGCAAGAAGAAAGAAAAATCAAACTCTGGAACAAAACGATGACATGCTTGAAGTAATTTCTTTTTCAATTCTAGATTTTGATGGAAAAACAATGTATGAGGAAATCATAAGGATGACAGAAGATTTTGATTCCATATATTGCATGGGACGGGAGGACATGGAAGTGTATACAGAGCAACTTTGTCATCTGGCAACATGGTAGCCGTGAAGAAACTCCATCTTCTCCACAATGGCGAGAATAATTTTCAGAAGGAATTCTTCAATGAAATAAGAGCACTAACTGAGATACGACACCGGAACATTATGAAGCTTCATGGTTTCTGTTCACATAAACGACATTCATTTTTGGTGTATGAGTATCTCGAAAGGGTAGCTTGGCCACAATGCTGAGCATGATCATGAAGCTAAAGAACTAGGGTGGAGTAAAAGGGTGAATATTGTTAAAGGTTTAGCTCATGCCTTGTCCTACATGCACCACGATTGCTTGCCACCAATTGTACATCGTGACATATCAAGCAAGAATGTTTTGCTGGATTCTGAATATGAGGCCAGTGTTTCAGATTTTGGCACCGCAAAGTTTTTAAATCCAGACTCACTAATTGGAGTGCTCTTGCAGGCACGTATGGATATATAGCACCAGGTAATGTTGAAACATTTTTTCTCTTATTTGAACACTTATCACCGATTCTTTTTCATGCATGGTTAAACCCAATTTGTTAGAATCGAACAGCACATTTGAACTGTACCATCGTAATTAAAGTAAAAGTATTGAACCTGGTAGCAAATTAGCAATAGGTACTTTAATCATTTCATATCACAAATGTTTTGAACACCGAAGTTTTTGATATACTAATAATGCCACTGCTACGAGATTTTCTAAGCAGAGCTTGCTTATACAATGGAAGTGAATGAGAAATGCGACGTGTATAGCTTCGGAGTAGTAACGTTGGAACTGATTATGGGAAGGCATCCGGGAGATCTGTTGTCATCTTTATCATCTGCGTCTTTGTTGTCATCTTCATCATCTGCATTACCTGCCCATCAAATGCCAATGGAGGATATTTTGGACCAACGCATTCCCCCCCTACACATCAAGAAGCAGGGGAAGTGGTCTCTCTAGTGCAGATAGCTTTTGCATGCTTGAATCCCAGTCCTCCATCTCGTCCAACAATGAAACAAGTTTCTCAACACCTCTCAACTCAGAGGCTGCATTTGTCCAAGTCAGTGCATATGATAACATGTGGTGAATTGCTTGCTCTCGACGGTTTTACAACCCGAGGGTAAGTTTCTACATGTTAAATGCTTTCAATTATCTCCGCCACCACTCGTCATGCTCATTCGCCTATCATGCCTTTATAATTTCTTTGACATTATTTGATTGATTAATTTGAATAAACACCATATTAACTCTGTGTTTGCCCTCTGACTGTTTCTTCTAACCTTCTTAGATGTTCCCTTGTAGCAATGTATTTGAAGCCTACTTTTGTGCCACTCATTATTTGAAGGAAGGAAAAAAAGGTGTAACAACATAAGTTAATATTTATAATCACTTTGTCAGTTCAATTTTATGTTTGAAGAGCAGTAATTATAGGAAAATCAGATATTTATCTGGCTTTATCCTCAGACAAAATACCAAATTGTCATATCCCAGAAGAGAAGAACGACCCCTCAAGGCTCAAAATTGACACCAACCAAAATTAACAATGAACAAGACAATACAACAACGGTGTTCCTCTCAGAAAACTGAAAGTAGTGTTTCTCACGAGTGCAATTTCACAATAAAAGCAACGAACAGATTCACATTCTTATTCCCTATATATGCAAAGTCAGCTTTCGCTTGGTATACTCTTGGAATTTTGATCATCTGTTGATCTTCAAAATCTTGAAAAATGCTAGGTTGTTACCAATTGCTTTCTTCTTCTTTTTTGGTTTGTTGTGAAAGTAGTTCTAAAAATTGCAAAGACTTTCCAAGAATATTGTTGAAAGCATAAAAATTATGAATATTGTTTAAGTCATAACTTGCTTGAAGGTAAGATACCTTCAGAAATAAGCAACATGGAGAGTTTGGAGATGCTCAACCTTTCCCACAATAATCTTTCTGGCTTTATTCCAACGAGTTTTGAAGACATGAATGGGTTGTCGTATGTTTACAATACTACGATGACTTTGAGGGTCCCCTGCCCAACAGCAGTGCATTTCGGAATGCTCTTCCAGAAGCATTGCAGGGGAACAAAGTACTGTGCGGCAACATTGGAGCTCTACAATCCTTGAAGAAATTTCTTTTTCAATTCTAGATTTTGATGGGAAAACAATGTATGAGGAAATCATAAGGGCGACAGAAGATTTTGATTCCATATATTGCATTGGGACGGGAGGAAATGGAAGTGTTTACAGTTACAGAGCAAATTTTTCATTTGCAACATGGTAGCCATGAAGAAACTCCATCTTCTCCACAATGGCGAGAATAATTTCAGAAGGAATTCTCCAATGAAATAAGAGCACTAACTGAGATACGACACCGGAACATAATGAAGCTTTATGGGTTTCTATTCACATCACCGACACTTGTTTTTGGTGTATGAGTTTCTCGAAAGAGGTAGCTTGGCCACAACGCTGAGCAATGATCATGAAGCTAAAGACTGGGGTGGAGTAAAGGGGTGAATATTGTTAAAGGTTTAGCTAATGCCTTGTTACATGCACCACGATTGCTTGCCACCGATTGTACATCGTGACATATCAAGCAAGAATGTTTTGCTGGATTCTGAATATGAGGCCTGTGTTTCAGATTTTGGTACTACAAATTTTTAAATCCGACTCAACTAATTAGACTGCTGCTGCAGGCACTTATGGCTACATGGCACCAGGTAATGTTTTGATCACTGAAATCTCTGTCTTTTGTACTTGGTGTGTACGATTTATGCATGATACAATTTCTTGTGTGAGCTGTGTCTGAACAGAGCTTGCATATACAATGAAGTGACCGAGAAGTGCGATGTTTATAGTTTTGGAGTTGTCACACTGGAAATAATTATGGGAAGATATCCAGGAGATGTTTTCTCATCTTTACATTTGGTGCATCATCGTCATCCTCATCTGCATCACCCGCCCCGGAAATGCCAATTTGGACATTCTGGACCAACGCATCTAGCCACCCACAAAACAAGAAGCAGAGGAGGTGGTGTCTCTTGTGAAGATAGCATTTGCATCCTTGAATCCCAGTCTGCAGTGTCGACCAACGATGAAGAAATTTCTCAGCTCCTCTCATAAACTCAAGGCTGCATTTGTCAAAGCCATTGCATATGACAACATTTGGTGAATTGCTTGCTCTTGATGGTTTCGCTACCTGATTAGGAAATGTGCTGCTTTCTCCGTATTTCACTTCATTTGTGTCTGCCTTGTTCTAATAGTGTCATCATGCATTTTGGTATCAGAGAATTCATAGGATTAGGTCCCAACATCACACTTGAGCAACAGATCTATGCTCTGAATGGTACTAAACCATTCAGGGAATTAGATTTGAACTCCTATTGAAGTTGTTTACTAAACCATATGGAATTGGGGTAGGAGTGATTCTAATTACTAAAATGTCCTCATTGGTTGGGTTAAAGTAAATGACAAATTTTAAATTTTAAAATTGTGTGAGGATATAATGGGTAAAAAGATAAATTTCTAATAGGTTTGTTCTCTAGGAATTAGAATATCACTTTCCCACCTAAGAATTGAATTCCTAAAAATCAGGAATTCAATTGCTAATTTGTGTGGGCCCACCTACTTTTAAATCGTTGATATGAAGTAAACACAGGAATCCTATATAGTTAGAGTTTAATTCCTTAAAGAGAATTCCAATTCCTGATTAGTAAACATACCATGAAAGTTTTTTTTAGAAGTAGATATTTGTAAATCACATAAATATCCAACCCACTTTCTGTAAAACTAAGATATATTTAGTCATATATCCCATTTTTAAGCACTAAATATAATAAACCTTACAAAACCCCCCTTTAATTTCTATAAATAAATCCAAAAAATGACACAGACCCTATGAATTTATTTTGATTATTAAATTACTTGTACCCCAGTGAATGTAGGTTTTTTAGGTTTTAGACATAAAAAAATTTTCACTGTTGGAAAAAGCCAAAGCTTTTTCAAAAAAGACAAAAAAACCACTCAACTTTCAAATCAAAGACATGCAAAGTGTATGGAATTCCTTAGGAAATCTAAAAATAAATAAGGGCATTTTTGTCCATTTTTACTTCTTTTATAAATTTTCTTTCTCTTTTTGCTTTTCCAAATGATTGTTTGTTTTTGTTGTTGTTTTGGGTTTTTTTTTTTTTTTTTTTTTTATGAGGTTTTTGAGGTTTTATTTGTTTTAAGAAATCAATGACACTTTGTAATTTAAAAGAAATTAAAAGCCTTTTTATTATGTTGTAAATGGGCTGTGCTTATATTTCTAAAGTCCATTATATATAAAAAAAAAAAAAAAAAAAAAAAAAAAAAAAAAAAAAAAAAAAAAAAAAAAAAAAAAAAAAAAAAAAAAAAAAAAAAAAAAAAAAAAAAAAAAAAAAAAAAAAAAAAAAAAAAAAAAAAAAAAAAAAAAAAAAAAAAAAAAAAAAAAAAAAAAAAAAAAAAAAAAAAAAAAAAAAAAAAAAAAAAAAAAAAAAAAAAAAAAAAAAAAAAAAAAAAAAAAAAAAAAAAAAAAAAAAAAAAAAAAAAAAAAAAAAAAAAAAAAAAAAAAAAAAAAAAAAAAAAAAAAAAAAAAAAAAAAAAAAAAAAAAAAAAAAAAAAAAAAAAAAAAAAAAAAAAAAAAAAAAAAAAAAAAAAAAAAAAAAAAAAAAAAAAAAAAAAAAAAAAAAAAAAACTCCAAGGCCTTAGATACCCTCATGAAGGATCTCAAAGTTTTTGCTGAAGGTAATGAGGAGCTGTTCAAAGAAATGCATCAAATGTGTATGGGTTCAATCCAACAGGAATCATAAGGCACTCTCTATGTGTGGAGATATAATGTCTGTGATGAAGACTATGATGAAGGAAAATGCTAGATCATTGTTCATTATCATATAAATAAGGTACAACAAGCACCATATATGTATCTCTTCAATATGATTGATATATTTGCCAATGATCCTCGTACAACAACTTGTATAAGAATTGAAGAAATATTACTACATAACATTCTATAGTAGTATTGGCTACTATATTTTCACATCAGAAAAATACTAAGATACAAATTCAAAAAATCATTGGTCTTATCATCAACCTCGAGGGTCTTGCCATCTGTTGGTACTAAGCAATGAATCCCATCCTTTATCTACAATTAAGAATCATACAAGACATCAACTATACATGCATAACCATATAGAAAAGATGAAATTTTTTATGGTCATTCGTGTTCAGCTCAACACATGACCTCTATCAAATACAAGGGCATTATCAATTCTCACAAGAACAAGGACATTCTTCATGCCGTTCTCTGAGTTGTAAGTGACACGTTGCAGGACATTCATTGGAGACGTGCTGCAGAGAAGGATTCGATCAACTGATATATTGTATGCCACATTCGAATCATGATCCACTGGGGAAACAACAGGCGGCTGCTGGACATGATTACTGTTTAGATGATCATTTCCTTAATTCTCATTGCCTGGAAAGGGCTGCGGCTGTATTTCAGTGCTCATGTCATTTATATTGACAGGGAAGCTTGTATTGCAGCCAACACCAAGCAGGGTGTCTTGCTCCTGTGAAATGTTGCATTGGGCTGTGACATAATCAATCAATTGTTGGTCATCAGAGACCTGTGAATTTGACAGTTACCCAAAAAAAAAAAAAAAAAACTATTTGTGAGAGATGTGACCAAAATAAAATTTCAAATCTAACATAAGAAATTAAAGCAAGGTTTGAGTGAAGCATCATAAAACACCATACATCTTTGGAGACAAACAGCTCAATCAACCCTCTGCACTTGGAACCAAAACTCTGGTCCCCTCTCTTTCCTGCAAAATGTAAGTAGAAATATATGGTTACATTTAATTATATGTTCAGAAAAGGACTTTCTTTTGGAACTAGCTAGGAAAAATGGGAACTTGAGCTCACTGCCATGGCACTTGAATCTCTGTTAGAAGATGAGTTCAACAAATGGGCTGGTTTGATATTAATGGATGTGCATAAATCCTGCTCATGAGCACCCATGGTTAATGATATGAAACACTAATTAATTTCTTTTGTCAAGATATGTATGGTAGTTGGTAATTATGATTGAATGAGTAAACAAAAATGCGAAAATGAAAAGGATATATAGGTACCCAGAGTCTAAGGACAGAGAAGAAGGAAGCTGGGCAAGAAGATCACAGGAATTTGTTCTTGAGCGCTGCGTTGTACCTCTGCATGGAAGGACTGGATAAACTGGAAAAATGAGTTCATTTCCTCCATTAGTCTGAGTGTTCTCATCAGCCCCAGAAAAACAACAATAAAATAAACCTAAAAAATAATAAAATAAAATAAAAATTAGTCACAAAAAGAAACATGAATTAGTAACTGTTAATTAAAAGGTTCCTCTTAACCTTTGGTCTTCACTCAATTTCCAAATAACACAACAATCCTAGCCTTTCAAACCCACAAGGGGCCTAAGCCTCTCAGTCAGATTTTGCATAATGATGGCATATCTACAGAGAATTTATTCAATAATGGATATTTCTTTAAAGAACAATCTATGGAATCTCATAATATGCAGAGATAATAATATTCCAAAAGCCACAAGAGACCTCAATTTCTGAAATTCTTCTTACAATAATTCCTCAAAAGCTCCTTCACCCAGCCAGTCATGGCCAAAACCAAAAGTTCCAGCCATCGGTATAAACAGAAACCAAAAGGCATAAAAGTAAGACAATTTGTAACAGTTATAAGTGAAAACAATAACCGATTACAGCTAGCCAACGTGCTAATCTAATGATTCCAGAGTAAAAAGTAGAATCCAACCACTTAATTAAACTACCCACATGCAAAACAAGAAGAAAAACAGATTCGGATCAAACACTTTCCCCAAATTACACCAACCAGTAGTGACACAAAAAAACAACAGATTATAATGCAACTGCAAGCCCATTGCAAGGTTTGAGTGAAGCATCATAAAACATCATACATCTTTGGAGACAAACAGCTCAATCAACCCTCTGCACTTGGAACCAAAACTCTGGTCCCATCTCTTTCCTGCAAAATGTAAGTAGAAATATATAGTTACATTTAATTATATGTTCAGAAAAGGACTTTCTTTTGGAACTAGCTAGGAAAAATGGGAACTTGAGCTCACTGCCATGGCACTTGAATCTCTGTTAGAAGATGAGTTCAACCAAATGGGCAAGAAGATCACAGGAATTTGTTCTTGAGCGCTGCATTGTATCTCTGCATGGAAGGACTGGATAAACTGGAAAAAATAAGTTCATTTCCTCCATTAGTCTGAGTGTTCTCACTAGCCCCAGAAAAACAACAATCCATCAACTCAATAAACCTAAAAAATAATAAAATAAAATAAAAATTAGTCACAAAAAGAAACATGAATTAGAAAATACTATCAAGTAAATGAGCCAAGTTTCGACCCCGCATTCATAACATTGTAGCAAATTCACAATCAGACCATTCAAACCAACAGGAAGAGAAACTAAACAGAAAATAATTCCAACTGTGTGGTAGCAAAACTCACAGGACAGGAAATAATCCCCAAGTCAGCAAATTTTGTATTTAGGGTTCCCATGACTTGTGCTTGCTTCGGCTTCCAAATCTCAATCTCAAGCTCAAATTTGCAGGTAAACTTTTTCAATTTCGGGTTTCAGACTTCCAGTCAATCGCAGTGTTCAAAAAATAGGGCTAGGCGGACGGCTAGGCGGCTAGGCGGGCGCTAGGCGGCTAGGCGGGCGCTAGGCGGTTGGGCGGGCGCTAGGCGGCTAGGCGGCTGGGCGGACCTCCTAGGCGGGTTGGGTCATTTTTCGGTGCCGAACAAGGAGGACGAAGCAGCCGAAACTTGACTGCGTCTGCAAGCTCCGTCCTATGCGAGTGCAAGCTTCGTGTTTGTTTCAAATGTATTCAAAGAGTATAGCCGCGCGGCTATACCCTTAAAATATTCGAATATATTAATGTTTAAAGAGTATAGCCGAACGGCTATACGTTTAAAATATCCAAAAATGGGCCGCCTAGGCGGGCTAGGCGGGTCCTTATTATTTTATTTTATAAATAGTATGGCCGGTCGGCCGTACTCCTGAAATTAACCCTTGAGGTCAATATTGATGTCTCCAATATGTCAATATGAAATAGAAATAACAATCGCTACTCGACAAAGATCTATTTCCAGATCACACCTCTTTGACACGTGGCGGAGTCGCCAGGCATGGTTTTAAAAAAAATTATAAATATATGGCCGAACGGCTATACGCAGTGTCGTTTTAAAATAAAAATAGTATAGCCGTGCGGCTATATTCGGATTTTTCTTTTTTTTTTAATTATAGTATAGCCGAGCATTGTTTTAAAATAAAAATAGTATAGCCGTACAGCTGTACTTGATTTTTTGACACCTGGCGAAGCTAGCGCTAGAAGCCCAGCTGTGGTTTTTTTAAATTATAAAGATGATAGCCACGCGGCTATACGCAATGTTGTTTTAAAATAGAAATAGCATAGCTGTACGGCTGGACTCGCACATGGGGAAGCAGGAGCTAGAAGCCAGGAGGTGGTCTTTTTTAATTATAAATAGTATAGCCGCGCGGCAATATTCGGATTTTTATTATAAAAAATGTATAGCCGATCGGCTATACTAGAGTTTTTTATTATAAGAATAGTATAGCCGACCGGCTATACCCTTTACATAAAACTTCATTTTGGGCTGAAATTTATTATACATTTCATTTTGACGATAGTAAATGAATTCCTTGTGATCTCTCAACGACGTCGTGTCGACAACGATCTCTCACTCCCACTCCTAGTCGTGCTTGCGGAAACGCTATCAGTCCTTGTAGGGTTTTTTTTTTGACAGAAAGAGCTCGGAACCTGAGAGGTGTAATGGTGCGGTGGGTTCCGTAAAGAGCACCATAACAACGATAAATGGAAAACTCAGACTCTGACGAGCCAGAGAAGAAGAGGCCTCATTTAAACTCACTTTCGCCCACCATGGCTCGTAGCTCCACCACTTCTCCACCCAATAACCATAGCGTAATCCCTCTCTCTCTCTCTCTCTCTCTCTCTCTCTATATATATATATATATACATGTATATATATATATATTTACAGTCTGCTTGGTTACTGACGGAAAAATGCTTTTGATCAAATTTTTTGGTTTAAGAAAAAAAAGGTGTTTTTTATATTTAAAAAATTTACTGTGATTGATGGGTGATTGGAGTTTGGGCAATTTCTGCTTTGGATGTGCTTTTGAGAATGTGAAAAATTGTACTATGCTCTGTTTGGTTGTTGAGGAAGTGTAAGAAAAGGGATATAAGTTACAGAATTGGAATTTTTGGAGTATACGGTGTAGGTTAGAGGGTTTCTGTTTATTAATTGTGTAATTGGGGCAGTAAAGCATCATTAATCTCTAAGTTGATGAAGTCACTTCTGAAGTTAGTATGCTATTTCATAAAAAAAAGGCATGCATTTAGATGAGTGCACATTGATAGTTCAATGCATTTCAAGTACACTTCAATTTTGATTTGAGATAGGAAGTAGATTGAAATGTATTGGTATTTTGTGTACGTACTATATGTGCCCAGGTCGATGCAGCAGTTCTCCAGTACCAGAACCAGAGACTTCTTCACCAAATAGACAAACAGAAGCATGATTTGCAGGATCTTGAAGCCAAAATTAAGGAACTAAAGGATAAGCAAGGTTCTTATGATGAAATGCTAATCACAGTGAATCAAATATGGAATCAGGTTATCTTAAATGTTTGGTTGGGTTTTCTTCCTTTTCATGGTCTCAATTGTGTCCACCAGGATGACATGTAATTTTTTCTGATGGTGATTTCTTTATTTTGCTGACCAGTTGGTTGATGATTTAATTCTTCTTGGACTATGTGCTGGAGGAAGCCAAAATGCTTTACAAATTTTAGATGGCACTGATTATTCTCGTGGTATTTTACAGCACATGTGTTGTTTTATGCTACTTCATCTTTTTTTTCCTAATTTTTTCTGATGACTAAATCAAAATCTTAGTGTTCATTTTATTTTATTCTTCACATCATGTAGATTAGTTTGACCAGTGTGTTTTTCAGGTTCAATTCCATCATGTTCTGCGGAGGAGATGTTTCTTTGTAGACTCCTACAGAGAGATTCTATAGAAGCTAATGGCAATGATGAAATTGCTAAATATGTTGAAGAAGCTCTCACTTTGCGTCATACGTCTACTAGGGAGTTGTTAAAACTCTTGGAACATACCATTTATTCTCATAGGGAAAAAACAGAGAGCATGGTCCACACTTTGGATGGGAAGATATCTTCTGAAGGTCAGAGGTTCAATTGTAAATTCATTGTTGTACAAACTAATTTCATACAATAACTTTTTCATTTTTTAACACTTATTTTTGAAGGAGTAAGTGCATGAGGAATTATGTACTGATTATAGGTTCCTTGTTTTTCTTGTGATTCTCAGATGCTATCATCCAGTTACCTAAGATTGATGATATGATGGAGAGGGAGGTTAAAAATCTGCGGGAAGCGATTGATATTCTTCACGTGAAGCAGAAAGAGTATGCTGATGTAATTCGGACTTACCTTAGCAGCCAGTCAACAGATCAGTCTGAAATTAGCCGCATTACAGGTTTCTGAGATGGTTATAGTCACAAGCCTTGGTTTTTTATTTGCATATTTAGTAGGAATGTTTAATCCTACACTTGATTACTGACGGCACTTATGTAGTTTTTGTTTTTGTTTTTCATTTTTTCGTATTAGAAGAAAATTTGAACCTAGGATCTACACTTCAGCCCATCCAACCCATGTCACTTGAGCTAAGGCTCGTGGCAGTACATGTAAAGATTCAGCATCATATTTAAGACCTATAGATTTAGGAACTTTGCTCAATTTCTGACAGAGATTAAGTCTCAAAGTTTACCACTGTTTGGTGATGCCACCTTTTGATTTTTGTTGAATATGTAAATTTTCTGTTATGGGTGACAGGTGAGCTGGATGACAGCATGACTGAACTAGAGGAGAGTAGGAGGAAACTAGTGAATCTGAAAATGCAAAAGGATGTCGCATCTGGGATGCATAACCTTACTTCTGGTGCAGTGAATGGAACCCTATCACCTGAAAAATCAACAGAAAGGACAATAAGCTTGCGGGAACTAAGAAATTCAATCGAGGAAACAAAGGTATAGATATGTTGCCAAAACTCCTTTGTACCAGATCCCATTCTCGCTCTTTCTCTGACGTGTTTGAGCATGTTTTGCAGATACTAGCAGCTGACCGCCTTTCTGAGTATCAAGAGGCACATGAAGAAAATTTAACGCTGTCAAAACAATTGCAAGAATTTCAGGTTTCTAATTTTGAATTTTCCAAAGGTTTGATAGTTGACATACGCATTTCAAAATGATTTCAGTGTGTGTTTACTTCTTTGACAAACAATCTATGCTTCTCACAGAATGAATTGAAGGATGACAAATTTGTACATTCATCAAGACTTTACACTATGCGAAATGATCAACTCCAACATTGGAATGTTGAAGTGGACCGATACAAAGCATTGACTGATTCTTTGCAGGTTAAATTGCTTTGTTTTTGTGTTTCCAGATGCTTTGAATGCTTGGCCCATAAGTTCTGTCTTTTAAAAGTTTAATTTCAGGCTGATAGGGCTCTTGTTGTGAGAAGGGAGAAGGACCTAAATGTCAAAGTAGAGTCGGCAGATGCAATTAGGAATTCAATTGGCAATACTGATTCTAGGATTGAAGAACTAGAACTTCAGCTGCAGAAGTGTATAATTGAAAAAAATGACTTGAGATAAACATGGAAGAAGCAGTACAGGATTCAGGTGAAAATTACATCAGTTTGATGTTTATTGATATTAATTGTGAGTTTACCCAAGCTTCTGGTACTTAAGATGTTCTGTGCTGCAGGAAGAAAGGACATTATAGCCGAGTTTCGTGTGATGGCCTCATCTTTGTCAAAAGAAATGGGAATGATGGAAGCTCAGTTGAAGCGGTGGAAGGAAACAGCTCATGAAACACTGTCTTTACGTGACAAAGCCCAATCATTAAAAGCTTCATTAATTACAAAGGTTCACTTCCATTCCCGGTTTACTCTCGTACTCATATCAGTCCTACTGCATTGTTTTTTGGACAATGTATAATTTGGAAATAAGGGGATATACTGATCTTTCTAATTGTGTCGTGTGAATGAAAGTTACACACACATGCACACATACATATAAAAAGTACTTAGAAGCTTTGTTTTCCTTTTTTTAAACTGCAAGTTGGTTTTTTTGGAGAACTCATTTGTGATTCTGGAGTAAAAGAAGTCTTATGATTACTATTTGTTTGGATTTGTAATAGTTTTACTCCCTTTTCTTACTATTGATTAGTATTTAATCGTGGAATATTCTCTGAATTTCTCTGATTCTTTTTTTTGGAAGACACATGAGCAAAAGAGCTTAGCAGATAAATGTGCTGAACAGTTGATAGAGATAAAGTCTTTTAAGGCATTGGTGAGTTTCTCCATTAGTCTTTGAATATAGTTAGCTTTCCTTCAAATGGATCCATGTTTGTCGATTTTTTTCACCATTTAAATATAGGATTTTCTTTTTCCAGCTTCATCAATGCTTTTAATCTACCTTTGTACGTGTCAGTTTGTATCAACTCCTCTACGTGCAGGTTCTTCGTACATCTGTACCTGCTGTTTAATTCTAATTCTATCACATTTGACAATTTAAGCTTAAATTCTTTAACAGACTCACAAAATTACCCGTAAGCTGTGTTTCCCAGCAAAATAAACTTTTTATGCATTTGTTTGCCTCTTCCATGGAAAATGCCATAGCGTGATCTTCATGTCCGGCTATGGAAGCATTATATAATGACATCCTTGAGGGTAGTTTGTCCAATTTAATCATGGAACTAATTATTCTGGTGAAACCATATAGTTCGTTTCTAGTGGAAAGTCATGAATGTAATAAAATATGAATATGCACAGACTTATTACCCAACAAGAGAATAGGGAACACAGTGTATGCAGATATTAGTACTCAAACTATAAGTCATTAGTGCATTTTGTCCATTTAAGAACATTTTGAATTTTAAGACACATGGACTGTACTTTAACTGAGCTTATGTCAGTAACTGATGAAGATGAACTTATTGCAGATTGAGAAGTTGCAGAAAGAAAAACTGGAACTGCAGATCTTCTTAGACTTGTATGCACAGGAAAGCTATGAAAACATAGTTGTTTTTAATGATGTTTTGGTTGATGTTTTTTTTTTTTTTTTTTTTGGTGGGGGGTAGAGATAGCCATGAGTGAATGTTGTGATTTCTTCATCTATACGATTTGTGTATTCAACTTAATATGTGACAGATTCTATTCGTTTTCTCTTATCTAATTGAGATTATTGAAATTTTTTACTTTCCTTTCTTTTTTACTTTCCTTTCATGCGCTGCTTGCGTTCTTGATTCCATATAAATGGACACATTTAAGGTTAATATTAAATTTTCAGAGACTTGATGGAAATCAAAGAATCAGAACGCAGAGCGTACTCACAAGCTGAAATGTTCAAAAATGCAATAGATGAACATAGTCTAGAGTTGAGGGTGAAAGCAGCCAATGAAGCTGAAGCTGTTTGTCAGCAAAGGCTTTCTGCTACTGAAGCTGAGATAACTGAATTAAGGGGCAAACTTGATGCATCTGAGAGGTTAGTTGTTTTCCTAGTGCCGATTGAGTTTTGAATATAGTTGCATACTAACAAAAATATGTTATTCTGTTTTTATATTCAGTGTTTTATATCTGAGATATACGAATATTTGAAAAAAAATAAATTACTGAGAAGTTTTCAGTAGGGTTAATTATAGTGTGTGACACTGTGTTTTCATCTAAAGGTCAAAATATTGTGTTGCCGGGTGTGTAAATTGAAGATGCTTTTGATAATAAGTATAGCAATGTATAGATGTCTAAACTTGATTGCACACTCAGTAAATAAATGTAAGAATTTTAAAGAAATGCTTTTCTACCTCTGAAGCTGAATTTTCTTAATTAAGGCCAAGCTTGGTGCATTTGAGAGGTTTGTTTTTCTTATTCAAATAACTAACAATGTGCAAACTGGGATGTTAGATTCTATGTATGTTTTCTTTCACTAAGATAAAACATATCCATGTAAAAGATACTGGAAAATCTTAGTAATGCCATGTTTTCACCTTTTTCTTCAGGGATGTTCTGGAGCTTACAGAGGCTATTAGAATTAAAGACAAGGAGGCAGAGGCTTATATATCTGAAATTGAGGTGCCTTATTGATGCTTATCTTCTGATTGATATCTGGGGTTTCTGTTCCTTGATAATTGACACGATGACGTTGGTCTCACTTTTCTGCTTCACCTACTCATTATCTAATAAATTTATTATGTTCCTGCAGACCATTGGTCAGGCATATGAAGATATGCAGACACAAAACCAGCATCTGTTGCAGCAGGTGACTGAGAGGGATGACTATAATATCAAGGTCTGTGTTCTTATTTTCATTGATTTTTGTGGCCTTTCTTTCCCTCCACATTGTTGCTAAGTTTATTGGTGCGGTAGAATGCTGGCTGGTTGTCCCCGGTTTTTCAAAGAGATTTATTTTTTTGTGCAGCTCGTTTCTGAGAGTGTGAAGACAAAGCAATCACAGAGCTTTCTACTCTCTGATAAGCAGGCATTGGTGAAACAACTTCAACAAGTAAACACATCAGTAGAATCTTTAAAAATGAGAATTTCCCATGGTGAAGAGCAGGTACGGCTTCTCCTATGCAGACAAATTTTCCATTTGTTAACCTTTATCAAGTGGGTATTTGCATCCTGCAGATGAAGGCTCTCCTGACAGAAGCCACAAAAACTACTGAGGAAGACAGACACCTTGCAGTCAACGTGGAAACTGCTAAGTGGGAATTGGCTGATGCTGAGAAGGAGTTGCAGTGGCTGAAATCTGCTGTTTCCTCTTCTGAGAAGGAACATGCTCATATTCAAAAGGATATCAATGATATCGAATTGGAATTACACATTGAGAGGTAGTGTTTTGTCCATTTTGATTACAGTGCCTGCTTATGCATTCACTCTTATAAACAATCTAGGAAGCCTGTATAACTGTATACAGCTACAGTTTTGGCATGTAAGATATTGTTTCCCAGTTTCACATGCTGGATAGATGCCTTGGGTAATTGTGATAGGCTAATAGGCTCAGGAAATCATGAGCAGGGACAATGTATACAGCGATGGCTCCGAACTTTTACCTTTCCCTGCTCGATCAGATTTTGCAAGTTTGGAAGATTTCTTCATGTGGGATGTCTTTGTGCAGCTATTAGTTGTAATACTCAAAAGTCATGTGGGAAGATTTCTAACAAGTTGGATTCTTCTTGTGCAGAAGCTCTAGGAAGAATCTTGAGGAAGAGCTCAGGGAATTGAACAGCATGGTTGCTGAGATGAGTTCTGAAACTGGAGAGGCTGCAATACAGAAACTCCAATCTGAAATTAAATTTTGCAAGAATATTTTGCAGTGCAGTGTTTGTACTGATAGGCCAAAGGAGGTAAGGAAAAAATATTTGCCACCTTTACCTTTATTTGACCAATGTTTGAGATACAAATTTGTAATAATTTGCTAAATCTTCTGCTGAACTGATGGATGTTGGTGCTAATTATTTGATTTGCAGGTGGTAATTGTGAAATGCTATCATCTATTTTGCAATTATTGCGTACAAAAAAATCTAGAGATTCGTCATCGAAAATGCCCTGCCTGTGGAACTCCATTTGGCCAAAATGACATACGGTTTGTGAAGATATGAAAAATATTTGTGATCCTCTCACCCTTTTTTGATTACTAAGCATCTTGCAGTAAATAGAATAGATTATAGTTTTTCATCTTCTTGTCACAGTAGCCCAATATAGGAACTGTGACTTTGTATAGCTTTGGAGGCAATAGTTTTGTTCCCTCTGTTCTGTAAATGAGTGTTTAAAAAAAATATTTATCATTATTATTTTTTAAAACTGATGGTAGCTCCATTGATGGATGACCATATAAGATAGGATTTCTGATTTATCCATTAGAGTCAAGGATAAGCATCTTCAGCTTTGCTTGATGTTGGCAGTTGGTTTTACATTTTTATTTTTAGAAATTTCTATTTTCTTCTCAACAATTATAATTTTGGAGTTCTGTGAAAAGAAAAGAATTTTTTGAGTCTGAGTGGTAAATATCTACTGGGGATTTGTCAACAAGAAAAATAAGACTTTATTTTTTTCTATTTTAAATAAGTTCTCTATGCAGACATGGACTTAGCCAAGGTGGTTAGAGCGGATGTACTCCCAACTCTGCATCTGAGTTCGAATTTCCCTTCACGTAGTTTAGATTATATTAAAATAGATTATTGCTTGAATATTATAAATAAATTAATTATAAAAAAAAGTTGTCTATGAAGTCATGATCAAATCAGACGTCGTTGGCTTTTAGTTGTTACTTGGATTAGTAGCTTGCCTCCCTATTTACAAAGAAGCCCATATTTGCCATTTTCTAGCCGAAACCAACACTTACAAAAAGAAACAAAGAAAAGAGCAAATTTCAATTGGATGTCAATTTCCAAATTTTGTTTGAGTTGAAAGTATAAGATGGATTGTTGATGAATGGAACTTATCTATTTCAATCCTATTAAAATTAAAATCTCATTAAAAAAAATTTCAACGTATATTAAATTTTGTGAGTTATCCAATTCAATCTAATCCTAGACGCTCAATGTGGCCTCGAAGGTGCAGGGTATGTGCGTGTCACTATTATTTAAATAGAGAACTATTAATTAAATATAGGACTATTTTTTTTGGGTCACTCCACGCCACGCCAAACGTTCTGAAACTGAAAGCGTCTTTGAGATGAGATACGACATCGTTTCTCTGCGCCATCAGACACTGCCCAAACAAATCTTCATCTCTTCTCTCTCCGTCTCTCTCAACTCTCATCGAGTCATTTGTTGGCACTCTTCACTGTAATTGAAGAAATGCTTCTTTCTCTTGTGCAAACCACCTTAACATCATCACCTTTCCAATCCCCAAGCTTCAAGATTCTTCATCCCACCACTGTGCTGCCCAAAACTCTCTTTCTTGGTCTTGGAATTGAACCCACAAATGCCCTCAAAAGATTACTCTTTTTTAGCCAAAGATCACATTATACTAAATCCAGAAACCCCAGGCTCACTATCCATGCTTCTTTGCTTGAAGCTCCAGTCCTTTGGGCTGGTAGGCTTTGCATCTTCTACGCACTCTTGAAGACTGGTTTAGCTGGATCTCAAGCTAACCCACTTGTGTCAGGTCTGCTTCTTTAATGGGTTGTTTCTACTTTTCTTGGTTATTTTCTGTTAACCTTTAGTTTATTTATAAGTTTCAGAAAGTTGTTATGGGTCTTTTTCTTGATTAAGTTTTTTTCTTTTACTGGCTTTCAGATTTGGGAAGCACTGAAGAAGGTGATGGGGTTGGGATTGAGTCTGCTGATTTGGGGTTTTCTAGGTGGTTGAACAGCATACAGGGGAAACCAGGTTTGTTTGTTTGTTTCTTTTAACTGTACTTTCTTATATTGGATACATTAAGTTGAATGGCATTTTGTTGCCCTTCAAGCAGGTTTCATTATTATAACCGTTGGATATAAAAGAAGGGTAGTAAAAAAGAAATTAGTTGCACCAGGTAAATCAGAGTGGAGATTTATGTTCTCTCAGTTATTATTAAGAATAAACCGAAGATGAGAAAGACAAATTTGCTCGCATTTTCTAAGAAATTAAACATGGGACTGATGACACATGAATACTACTGGATGTGAATTTTTGTTTTGTTTTGATGTTTATGCATTATAGGAATAAAAAATAAAAAAAAAAAAAAAAAAAAAAAAAAATTATTTGAATTCTGGAAAATCACTGAAATAATGGTTTCAGTAATAAGGCTCAGATTACTTATTACTAGAGTAAACTAAGCATATGTTTTACTTATCTCGAAGTTGAACTTTAAATTGACACCTTTCTAAAGAAGTTGATGTGAAAATCGACTGAAGTTATTTCTTTAATGTGCCTTGGCACTTCAAAAGGACACATACTTGGTTCCTTCCTGATCCTTTTTGCTGATTAGAATAAGGCATCCCTTGATGCCTACAAATTCTATTTATGGTATTTTATTGCAATGAAGCATTAGCCCTTGTATGACGTAATGCTGGAAGGCTAAGTGGGTTATCATAAACGAAGCCTGTGTCTTTCCTTATGATTTGGTGGTCAATGACGAGTGGAGTCCTTAAGCATGAAATTCTAATGCTTCTGCTGCCTGAAGACTATGAATTTCCAAGGGACATATGTTACCATCAATGTGCCAACTGACCCTTCACTTGATGTTATTTTCATAGATTGTTTAATTAGTTTTCAGTATCATTCTTTGCATTTGGTTAATTGGGTTGCTGTACTAGCCCCCCTTGGCATGTTCCAGTTTCCATTTTTACTTGTCGAAAAAAGGACAAATGAAATAAAAATGGATAGATTGTTACTTATATTGGTTATAATGGATTAGTACAAATATGTATTTTATGGCATTTTCATATCCAAAAAGGCAATGACCAGGCCAAAGAATTCCGTTAGCATTTATTTATTTCTGTTGATCTTCTTCAAGGCCGAAAGAACATCAGAATTAATTTTTTGTCAATTGAGGTTTGCTATGGCTTACTCTTGATGAAAATGTTTTTTTTTTTCTCTCTTTCTGCCGTTATGGGTATGACATGAGTGGTAGTACAGTAGGTTTGTGTATCACCTCCTGAAGTCATCATACTAACAGAGAGCTAAAGATACACCAACATGTGTTCGCATGAGGAGAAAGAAGTGTTGATTAACTACTTGGATGGATATTTATGAAAAATATTTTTGTTAAGAAAAAGGTTTTTGACTGGGGAACCTTAGTTATTCTTGTGTTCCACATGAAGGTAATGATTCTCGGCTTTTGTAAACCTTTTGGCCCTTTTGTTTATTTTAATGTCACAGATTTCTCATTTAGAGGTGCATTTTCCTTTCCTTTAGCATCCATATTATATTTTATAAACCCTCAGTTTTGATTTGTTTTATCAGTGAAAGAAGCAGCTGATAGAAGGAAATTAGTGAGCAAATGGCATCCTACCACAAAGGGCACACTCAGAAGGAACTACAGGGTACCCTCTAAATCTGAAGGGCGGCGTGCTCTGAAAGCCATTGCCTCCTTATTGTCAGAGGACGATCACTTTGTAGATGCCACCTCCCACAAGGTAATTACAACTCTGAGGAAAACTGTTTCCTTTTCCTTTTCTGTTTCTTCCATTTTGATTGTTCTTTATCTTTTTCCATCTATTTCAATTTTTCTTCTTAGTCAAATTCTGAATAGCAGTACTCAGAAAGCCATGTAATCTCACATGCTAATAATTCTTCGGGCATTTATAGGGTTGCCAGATTAGGAGGGAGAGCGCTCACGGAGAAACTGTCTGTTGCAACAACGTAAGGGCTCTGTTCGATGAGCTCCCAACTCCACATCTAGTTGTGGAAATCACTCCTTTTCCTGCTGGTTCTCTTACAGAAACGGATTACACTAAAGCCGAGAAATTAGAGAGGGTCCTAAGGTCTGGTCCTTCTGTTTGAGTAATCTCGTACTTTTTGTGCTTTGACTTGTGTATTCAGTATCAAATTTGTACATAGTTTCAAGAAAGGAAGCTTGTTTTCTTCCAATGCACCTGGCATTTAAACTCTCACCATAACCCCTTATCAGCAATCAGTTAAACCGTTACTCGAATTAAGCTTAGGACGTTAATTAGCCAGGGTTTTCTTTGTTCACAGGGAAACAAAAAGGAAACACAAAGAAAGAGTCTAATAGATGAATGATTATGTTTGATTTATTACTTAGGATAAAAAATCAAAGATCGTTGCTCTATAAAGATGCTGGGCCTGCCAAACGAATATAGTCATACATGAACTCCCTGGAATTTGGCTGATACTGTTTTCGAGTTAAGTAAAAAGACATTTTCCCCTATCACCAACAGAGTCATTCTATAGTGAGGGCCTTATGGTCTTTAAGTGAGGTTATATCTTTTAACCGTTGAATCAGACTAACATATTTGATCCAATGATTAAAAGATAGGACATCACCTAAGGGCCATATAGAAGAGTCTCACCATAGAATTCTTGCACCAACTGAGCACCTGGAATGTCCACATTGTACAGCCTATACACAACCCATGAATTCCATGCCCTGGAATGTCCACATTGTACAGCCAATACACAGCCCATGAATTTCATGCCTTGCAGTGGCGTTCTCTTTTCCAATGTGTCCAGTAGAGATCCAAGGAATTTTTGATCCTGGGTCATTGATCCGAACCTCATGAGTTGAAGGGGAGTTTTTATTAGCATAGTTATAGTCAATCAAGGCACAATTGTTTATTAGAAATATGAACATAAGACACACAGAACGGACATACAAAAATATTCCCTTTATAGACACAATGGGACTGAATGTCAGCCAGTGATTAGGCCGGTTTTTGTTTGAATGTATAGTCAGAATTCTCATCCTTAAATAAGATGGTTTTTTAATTAAACCCTCATGTGTTAGATTAGATTTTAATTTTGGTAAGGGCGACATGACATGGCAGAATGTGCTCTAATACCATGAAGGAAGTTGAGGTTTCACTTCAAAGTCAATTGGCAATTGGGAGAGTGACCCAATTCCTTATAAGTCCTTACAAGGTTTCTTAAATTTCCAATATGGCACATTTCTTCACATCCTCATGCTTTAAGAGAGATCATGCTTCATACCTCTTTAAAAGATTAAAGGCTAAAAATCATTTTTTGTCCCTATAGTTTGTTGGTTTTATCACTTTGGTTCATGTAATCAATTTTGATAAAATTGAAATCACGGGAACTAAAGTGGTAACTACAGAGATCAAAAGTAAACTTTTGCCAATATTAAACAAGGATTAACAATATGAAACCAATGCAAAATTTAAAGAGGCAAATGAAGTTTGTAATAGCCACGGATATCCGTGGCATGGGATATATCCACTATGCCATGAATATTCGTGACTGTTAATGATGTTTCCTTTGTATTGTCGATTATAAATACACGCCATCCAAAAGTTATTAGTATTTTTTTTTATGAGTTTAGCATGGTATTAGCTTATGAATTTGAGCTTTAACTACAAATAATCTATAACTTATAAAGCCACTTACAAATTAAAGAACTAAACAACGAATCCAATTAATGAATGATTAATTACTTGGAACTGAATCCAAGATTGTTGCCCTTAGAAGATGGGGGACCTTCTAAACGAATATAGTCATACATAATTCCTTGGAAAGGACTTGTACTCCATGTTCGAGTTAGAAAAATGGTATTGTTCCCTTCCACCAGCTGAACACCAGGAACGTCGACATTGTACAGCCTATACAGCCCATGAATTCCATGCCTTGCGATGGTGTTATCGTTTCCAATCAGTCCCGTTGAAAAATGAGGATTGCTTGGTCGGAGGTCATTGATCCGAACCTTTGAAGAGTTGAAGCAAAATTTTCATTAGAATTTACTTATAAGTCATAGTTAATGGGTATGAAATTTAGGGTTCAGATTCAAAGTCAAGAAGTAATACTTGTAAGTCAGAAACATGTGCTGTGGCTAGTGCTATTCGTAGTTTGTAGGTATTGTTCTTGTCCACAATGTCAAGTTTGAACTTAATCTGCCATGTTGATCCTTGGTATGTGTTATTATCTGTCTTCCTGTGGATAAAAAAAAGGGGAACATGCATGATATATAAATAGTTAAATGAGATCTTACAATAGAAAGAGTTAGGTTTTTAGCATATTAGAATAGTGTCTTAAATATGTTTCCTAATTGAGTGTCACGTGTTTAAATATATCAAACTCCATCTGATAACTTAACATGTCAGAATGTTGTAACATATTTACGTAGCATTACCCCACCAATAATGAATTACCTGGTAACCTGAGCAAAGAAGAAATCTTTTCTATAATCGCTAACGCCCACGGTGTAAACCATGTCGTTGTGAGGATATAAATCTGCATATCTTTCCCACAATCCATATTGCCTAAACCTGCCATTTACAACAGAAGCCTGAATTTCATGACCTAGCTTATAATAAAAAATATAAATTCTTATAAAAGTAGATTATCAATATAGGAAGAACAAACCTGTCAGTGTGGTTGAGATAGAGCTTGTTAATGTACTTTGGATTAGGATCAGGAACAAAGAATTCTGCTGCAGTTCGATCTGGAATGCCTATTTCCCATAGAGTTGGCCCACTTCTTGGAGGTTCATAAACAAGTGTACCCACATCTTTATCACAACCTGCAGGTTATTTTACATAAAATCACAGTGTAAACGGATTTATTTATTTATTTATATATAATAAAGAAAACTTAATATAAGTAAAAAATAAAAAAGAAGGTGAAAATAAGACCTGGAGATATGGTTACTTCAGCGTCATATCGATAATCACCAATTAAACCAGGAACATAGGCAAAAAGATTATAGGTGCCTGGACGGATTCCAATTATAGAGAAGCAGCCTTTCTCGTCTGCTTTAGTCCAAAATTGATATCCCTGATGTAAAATTTAAAACATCATGTTGTAAATTTCTGTATCATTCATAAGTATATATTTGGAAATTGGGTGCATGTAATACTATTCATAATATACATAAAGAAGTTTCGGCTGAGAAATTCCTCAAATAAGCTTCGGTTTTACCATAGAACACTTAATTGCAAATATATATGTACCTTGCATTCAAATTGCCATGATCCAACATCTCCTGGAGCTGCCAACCCCACCAGGGTACCATTTCCGGGTAAGTCTTCATCACTAATATACCTACACAAGGGTATATATTGAAATTTCACTTAAATTTTCAAAGGAAAAAAAAAAGGCATACTATTTTAGCGTTAGCATAAACGAATTTATATGACAGAAAATGAAATATCAAAAATATCAATCACCGAAAACTTGACTATGTTCACTGTTGATGTGTATATATGACGGGGCTACACGGGAGGATGTAAAATTCACGTACATTGTTGGTTCATTCACTAACATCATAATTTTTGGGGTCTATGATCGTTGTCTAACAACTGAGTCACAACCTCACAATGACAATACACAGACTTTTTAAAGACTATCAAAAGAGGCTTTCAGAAATTAAGAACACATAAAATCTCTAAACCAAATGCTTTGTTTCACAAGGGATAATCCAATTGACACTTTCTTTTTTCTTTTCTTTTTTCCCATTAGGGTTCTATTTTCTAAATTGAAAACAAAACCTTACAAAATTTGAGACACAATTAATATATTAATATGATCACCAAAAGATATATAAATGTGCTATAATAACAATAGTTTACCTGTCATGGACTAGTAATCTGCCGCTCACACTACCTCGTTGATCCAACGGCAGAAAGTCCTTGGAAGCTGGAAAATCATATGGCCAGCTTTGAACTTCAACTTCCATCTGAATTGTGTTACAAATTTTTCAGAGATGATATTTCACCCCAATAAACAATTAAAATTGCAAAATATTTTTATTGTAAAAAAAAAAAAAAAAAAAAAAAAAAAAAAAAAAGATAGTGGGGGGTTTTTTTTTCATGTGAAACCTGCTGTTTAGCGTCTTCCCATAGCCGCTTAAGTGGGTCATCTCCATTCACCAAAGAATTAAGATGGATAAAAACGGGGCCGAAAACCTTCTTCCATGGCTCATTCGGCCCAAATTGTAATATCAAATCCGCTCCTGAGTAATGGGTGCTGTGAAATATCTGAAGATACCATTTCAATCAAAGTTAGTACAATTCTACTTCTCGTTTTTATAATACCATTATGATACGAATTAGGGCTCTAAATCTTGATTGCAGTTTGAGTTTGACCCGTATTTGGTTTGTTACCGAACCAATCAATTCGCCAATGGGTTCCTACCACAATGGTAGTGGATTTCCCGTCTCTCCCATGACACCCAAAATCGAAATTTAGTGGAATTTTTTTCCTCCAATATAACCCAAATGAACCAATCAATTTGTAGGAGAAACGAGCTGAGCTCAAGCAAAATACTATGCTCAAGTTTTAAGGAACGGGCCGAGCTCGAATCAAGCTAGATCTATCTAGGCCAAAAAATAAACATACTTACAGCAAGGGTGATGGGCCCAACATGGGAAGTAAGGCACTGTTTGAGAGGCCCACCAGATTTGAACTCTTCGCTAGGAGTAATCTGCCAGAATCCCATGGGTGGGTCAGTGACCGTGGATATCCATCCATGCACCCGATTGTTCTTGTTCTCAATTGAATATTGATACTTATCATCCACCTGCACAAAATCCACCAAAAATCCACCAAGAAACCTCATGTTCTATTATGGGATCGGATATTTGTTTTTCCTGTCTATCAATTTTATTGTATATGATTTAGACATTTGATAAGCGATTAATTTTTATTTGAATCATGCGCGGTCTAAATTCAGAGTATGACAATAATGTGAAATAATAATAATAAAAATGTTGTTTGTTAAGATTGTTAGAAGTTAGAAGAAATACTTCTCCTTTAAACTCTGGCTCCACAGGATTGACAAGCAAGACAGCCTCTGGGTAAGCTAGGGGTTGGCCTCTCTCTGCCGTCCGATCATCAGGAAGTGGCATGTATCTTTGCCTATTATCTGACATTGCCATGTAATGAAACCTACAACAAGATTTTTTATTTTTTTTTAAAAGGTGAACAATATTAAAGAAAGTATTTTTGTCCCCTTTTAACAAAACCTAAGATCTACCTTTTTACTAACGAATGCTGCTATTTGTAACACATTTACTGATCACATTGCTGACCACATCTCTAATATATGTGAGTCCACAAGTGATTAGCAATGCGGTCAATAAACGTGGTACATATAGTATAATATCTTTTTTACAAATTAAAATATTATTATTAACCTACAAAAATTAATATATTTTTTTAATTCGGTAAGTGCTGATGCATTTTATACACCATGTGTTGAGCAAGAGACTGGTATAGCTGGTGCCTCTCCATTGGGGGCTATAATTATTTTTGGTTCAGTTTCGGTGAGATTGAAAAGGTAAACATCATCATCTTCACGAGAAAGCATTTGTCCTTTGGATCTGACATCACGAGAAAGCTACCCCAGTATGAGTTTTGTTTTTTCCTTTTTGCTATTGTGTGAGTTTTCTTTTCTGCCTACTACATTCAAACTTTCACATTGGAATTAGAATTTTAATACGATCTGTTTTGTCACCATCAATTAAATTGTCTACGTACAAATGCACCACCACCTCATGTCATCTACATTGCATTTCTCTAATTCCATGATTTATATACAAGTGATATTCTATTTTAATTTAATTTAAATTATGAGGAGGAAAATTCGAGCGGATGTGCATAATAGGAAGTACATCCGCTCTAACGTAAGCCCATATCTGCCTAAAATTGTTGTTACTTTATTTGGCCTAGACCTTACCTTTTATATACGGTAATATACTAATAATCAATTCGCTAATTTTATTGTAACAAATGAAGGGGGATGCAATTGGCACTCCAATAATGGTTGCCTAAAATAAAGAGAAAATGGATGAAGGGAAATTACTTGTCTTTTCTGAGCTTAAACACGACCCTGGTATTGGTCAAGTTGAAAGCAGGCCAATCCTTCAAGTGTTCATAGATACCGTACGTATAGAAGCCTGAGGAGTTGCGAAGCATAACAAACCTTGAAATTCACATTACTATTGTCACCATCAATTAATCATGAACTAATCACATACAATTAATAAAATAAATTCACCATAATTTTTCTTTCAAACTGACCTTTTGTCAATATTTAGAGGCACAAACTTTCCTTCTAGAGAGGGATCCCACATTCTGGTGAATGAAAGCTCTATCTGGTTCTCAGTTTCCACAATCACTGTAAAATTGGTTGTTTCCATCCTGCAAATAGAGCAACTAGTTTTCAGTTTTATGTGGAACTTGGAAATGAATTTTTTTTTTGGGTCAAATTGTGAATTTGAGATCATAGAATGAAAGTGGATGTTACAACAAATTCGTAGTATTTTTCGATGAATTGTTTGGAGTATGATGATTGTTTGGTGAATTTTGAATCTAAAGGTCCCAAGGCTTGGACTCGGTCCGTGATTGAACACAATAGTCGAATGGCCATGTCCAAGTCAGGAGGTCTCAAATATCGAGTTTGGCAACTAGAATGCAATGCATGTATAGTGATGTAAAATTGGTGAATGAGAAAGGAGCACAAAAAGAACGAAAATGAAAATGAAAACTAAAATCTAAAATATTTTCAAGTTGTTTTAAAAAATAAGGGTGATTTTGAAAACTATAGATTTCACTTTTTTTAAAACAAAATCTGTTACCAAACAGATCCTAAACTTTTAATTTTTGAAGGAGATGTTTTTCACACTTCCAGAATGTCATCATGAACTTGAAATGGAATATTTAATATTTTAAAACACTCACAGAATTAGTGCACGATAATCCTCTAGCGTGCGTAATAATTTTTTTCAGCCTCTTTACACGCTTGCACTGTAAAGCATACATCCAATAATTTTATTATTACTAATAATTTTTTATATAACAAAAGTGATATTGTTTTATTTATTTATAATACAAGCAAATCTAAACTACAAGGGGAGTAAAATTTCTCTCTCACACACACACAACTAAGGTGTTGTGGCGTTTGAACAAGAGAATAGTTAGCGTCCTCTTCTAATGGGCTACACCAGAAGTGATATTTTATTAGCTAATTGTAAACCAAATTTAAAATTTTTTTTTTTTTTTTTTTTTTTTTTTTTTTATCAAAATACCTTTTCAAATAGGAGTATAATACCCCTTGTAGTTATCCATTTATTACAAAAAATGCTAAGGCCGATATTTTATCACTAACTATAGCCCAATTTCAAATTACCTTGTCAAATAGGATTATAATACCTCCAATTGTATTTCTTCCAATTATCAATAAATTCTCTCTCGTTTTGTTGAAGTTCTCTAAAAAAAAACCCCTTGTAACCATCTATTTATTATAAATAAATAAAAAATAAAAAAACCTAAGGTTACAAGATTTGTGCAACCATCCATAAAGTTTACGTTAAATATATCAATCACAATTAATCTAAAAACTGTTTCCTTCAGTTTACAAAATTTGCTATCCTCTCGTCATGTTTTCAGTTTTCATGTTAAGGGTAATTGTTCCTAACCATTGAATTACAAGCCGCCCCTTGCTCTAACAATCATTATATTATCAAATTGTACGCATTTGTTTGGTGGAAAGTATCAGATCGTATTTAATTTTAAAAACACATTTGAAGAAGAATCTACACTATCAATGCATGGTTGAAATTGATATATGAGAATGCTAAGCTACTGGCAAGAGAACAGTAATACAATTAACAATAAAATTAAAGGAGGTTAGCTGTCATTAAGTTGCATGACTTATAGTATAAGAAAGGACAGAAGCACACCTATCAAATTCGCCTTTTTTTCTTTTAATTTCTGGCGCATCCCAAACCAGGTCCCAATACCTGCAAATAGCTAATACATAAGCATATGTGTATGCATATACATTGCCCCAAAAAGGCTAACTTTCAACCCCCCCGGCATATTAAAATTAAATCATCCAACGTCCCTAAACCGAGATTAGCAATAGACAAAGATGCGTACACTCTTAAGCTAAGTTTCCATCATTCGACATGAGATATTCTCAACAATTATACAAATATGAAAATAGAAGTAACATTATTGTTTACATATTTTCAACCGTACGTATCTAAGTTTTTCTCTTCTAAGTCAACAACTATAGCCAATACTGATCCATATAAAGAAATCTTCAGTATTTGAAATCCAATTTGAAGGACAAGGCCTTACCCTCTATCGGAATCTTCATTAAGAATTTCAAGCAAATTGTCGACGCCGTTATATTGAATTCCGGTGACCATCCCCGCTGGTTTTGACAACGTCACTTGGAGAATCCCATTATCCATCACCACCTGCCCAAATAATTCATAAATTAAACTCTCGTATTACGACACTAACAAAAACGACGTCGTCAGTCCGAAGCGTACCAAAAATACTTACATCTTGTTCACGGATATGCAACTGCAGGCCTGTGATATTTTGCGCAGCAGCGGCTGGTAAAGTCACGGCTTGGATTAAGAGAACGATGAAACACAACTTTACCGACAGCCATGTTTTCGAGACGGAAAAAACATCGCCTTTTGGTCCCTTTCCTGATCTGACATGAAAGGTCGACATGTGAACCGTGAAGGCAAAGGTCGAGATCAGGAATGTTGAAATATTGGCCAAGTTTCCGTGAATATGAAAGAAAAGAATATAAATAAATTAAAATATAATAATATTGTCTTGTGATTTCTTTACTTTGTCGCCACCAGTTTCTGTGTTTGGTGAACCAGCAGACGGGGCATGCACTAGTCGTTGGTGAAGAAAAGTATATATATGTATATTTGTGAAGCGATCTATGATAAAAAGGTTCATTTGAAAAACTTAACTTGTTTTCTAGTATATTAGAGGAAAGTTATTGTGCGGATACGGTTTAGAAAGATGCGTTTTTATTCTTTCTTTTTGGGGTTTCACTGCTTTTATTTATTTTCAAATTTATTCATGTATTGAGGAGAAAGTTTAGAGCTGATTGATTGGTATTCGTACGTCTTTCCTTTTTGGCTTTTTTATTTTAAATATTTTCTTTCTTTTGTATCTTTGGGAAAACTTTTAATTTATTTTTTCCGGGATTTGTTTTGTTTGTAAATTCAGGAAGAAAAGGGGTGTCAGTTCACCAAATTGGAGGGCAATAATCCTTACACGCAAGGGGGGACCCGTCCTATATATGGGGAGGGTGTGTGGTGGTGGATAATCGGATATGGGTATGGGGACGGGGATTGGGTATCTCATGATCCGAAATGTTTGATTTTTAGATCTTTATTTAATTATTTTTGTACAAATTTACTCAAATCAAATATTTTAGTTATTTATGTATAGAACGTTTTCAATAAACAATGAAATATTCATGATAAGTGACTAAAAGAGTTAGTCCGATAGCGATATAAGAGTTAATTTATGTCACTGTTGGACAGTGACTGGACCGGTTTGTCCAATTTTAGAGGAATTGGACTATTTTAACATTTAATTACTATATTAGTGGATATCTTCATTTAATAAAATTTTTGTTGATTTTAGAATTTAAACTTTTATGAATGGGATGGAGAACTTGATCCTCGATGGGGTACCCCCTATGTAACATCGATACGCAACTAAAAAGAAGGGGGGAAGGGGGAATTATAGAGTACTACAGTAGTACGACTACATGGTACATCTTACGTGCGTGTTATAATATAAGTTAATATTTATTGATACTATTCCTTAAAAGGAGGAAAAATAAACCATGTCATTCACCTATATTATGACACATACAAGATGTACCACATGGCCATACTACCGCAATATTTTATTATTTCTCCATGACGAAACAATAACACATAAAGAGTAGCCTTTCAAGATGAGGGATATCCAAAGCCAACCCAAATTTGTGGTAGAGACAATAGATCTGCCAAAGGAATTGGCATAGATTCCCCAAAACTCAGAGAACACCGAGGATCAGGCGAGATGCCGAGGGGGAGGGGGGGTGTGTTCTCTCTCTCTCTCTCTCTCTCTCTCTCTCATAGTTGGCATTTTGCTTTTGAGTGTTAGGGGTGTGTTGTTCCTTTAGGACGGACTTATAAAGAGACTACACCGGGCTATAGCCTAGGTGGGTTTTTATTTTGTAAGTCGAAAATTTCATCCAACCCACCTGCTAGCTTCTATAATGAGGGGGATTTTGTTGAGCGGGTTCAATGTGAGGTTCCATCCCACCATTCATTCATTTAACAAGTTTAACTCCAACACTTTCTCTCTCTTGTTGGATGGTGGTATGGACTAGGGGTGGCATTTTAGACCGAAAAACTGCAAAAACCAACCAACTATTTACCGCAATGAAACCGCGATCGCGGTAAACCGAACCGCATTTGCGGTATGAAGAACCAAACCGCATTTGCGGTTGCGGTATTTGATTTTCAAAACTTGCGGTTACCGCAAACCGCAAAGTATAGTCAATCTATGTTGTTTTATTTGATCTTCTTATAATTAAATGTACTAAACTATGTTGTTTTATTTGTAAATAACATTGGTGCTCAAACAACACAACGAGGTTCTTCAAATCCACTCACCACCAACACTTGAGTTTGTAACATTGGTGCATTGCATTTTTCTTTTAGTTTGTGACTTTAATTAACTTTGAATTGGATTTTTCTTTTTGGTTGTAACTTTAATTCATTTTGCTTTACATTTTCCTTTTGGTTTGTAACTTTAAAGGATTTGGAATTAGAATGCTTGAGAAGTTTAACTTTAATTGGAATGCTTAGAATTGTAACTTTAATTTTCTTTAGGTTGTGAATGCTTGAGAAGTTAAGAAGATTGTGAATTTATATATGCTTTAGAAGTTGAGGTTGTGTATTTATTTATTTAGTTGTGAATTTATATTTTTGTGAATGCTTGAGAACTTGCGGTTTTAAACCGCTAATTCGCGGTAACGGACCGCTTTTTGCGATTTCAAAAATCACCATACTGCAAACAGTCGGTCGGTTTGCGGTTTGGGCAAAAATTCGCGATTACCGAACCGCAACCACCCCTAGTATGGACCCCCACATTGAACCCCCTAACCGAAAGAACCCAACATTATAGCATTTCCGCAATCTTATATAGGACATATATACTAACATGGCCCACTCAAATTAAAATCTTTAATCTTAACAGTGAAATTTTTTTTTTTTTGGGCGTAAAAATCTTTGTGATAAATTTATTATATTTTGTGGGTTGTTGATTAGTGATTTCTCTTTATTATCTCAAATTAAGGACAATAATATTTGTTTGATTTCTTTATTATATGAATTCTGAAATTTCTTTATTTTCTTCGATGTGTAGGTAAAGTAAATTTAGCCCACCTCATTTTAAAATTCTGAGTCCGTCCTTGATCACTCGTTTAATAATTCATGAAAATCCCAATTGAAAACAAACCTAAATATCTTTTCATATAAATCCTAAAATACTAATCCCCTGATCAACCTGAAAGCCTTAATTCCTAATATTATAAAACAATATAATTTTGAAGAAAAGTTGAACTGCTCCGGCTGCAGAGTCAGTGATTTTATTTATTTATTTTTTGTGAGGAGCAATAATACACTAAACTCACACACAACCAACTAATGGGTCCTTTGCAAGTGATTTTTTTATTTTTTTTTGGTTCATAGGGAGGCATGTGAAGAAATGATGTCACAGTAAAGGTGATAATTATGAGTGAATTTTTAATTTGGAGAGTTCGATCCGCTATAAATTTGTTAATGGGAGTAATTATCACATTGAAAACATGGCATGCATCACATGATGTTGGTTTGAAATATATGTACTAGTGGAAAGAATGTAAAACTCAGTTTGAGACAAATTGTGGTGGGTACATCCCTAATTATTTAGATTATCATGCTATTATAGTTGGACGAGCCCTGTACTGGTTCTAACACAATAGTTGAAGAAAAAGACCAATATCCTCATAATTGGCAAATATTCTTTTACGGTGCATAAACCATGGTAACAGTTGGGTTTAACTGTTTATGACATGTTTATTTAGGGTGCTGATTTTTGTACTCTCATTTTATCCACTTACACTTCCTTTCGTTTTTTTAAATACTTTTTACTCTAACAAAAAAAAAAGTGTAAGTCGACAAAAGAGGAGTGAGAGAGCATATAATTTCCAACAAAGGGAATGTAAATGGACAAAAGTGGAGTGGAAAAATCAGCTCCCTTATTTTAATGTAAGATTAACGTTTTTCTAAGAAGCATAATATTTTAGTCGAGCTTAGCTTGTTTCTTTTATTAACAGAGTTCGAACGAGCCCAAAAACGAGCAGAAAACGAGTCGAATTTGAAGTGAGTAGAGCCCATTTACAGTCCTATAACCCAATTTGATTAATATGCAGAAGAGAATTCATTTTTGTTGAATTTCTTTCTTTCCTTTTGTTTTTGTTCCTTTTTTACCTAAGGCCATTGAAAAATACTTGCAAATATGGGAAATGTAGAGGAGCAAAAAACAAGTACATCCCCCTTTTTTGTGTGGTGTCTTGTCTTTTTGTTCTTCTTGAGATTTTTCCATATTCGTTAAGTTACATTTAGATGGAGCGATTTAAAAGAAAGAACTTGGGGTTGACAAGTAGGATAAATTTGCTTTAAAAACAAAAATCACAGTACATGCATTGTTATAGGCTAAACAAACAATTCTACACTATAATGGTGTCTAAATCCATTGATTTGGAATACCTCCATCCAAATGGAAATCTCGGAATTTTTTTCCTTTCTTTTTTGTTTAACAAATACGTAGTTTACCATATTTGCTAGAAACAATGTATCAGCTTAATTAATGGACAAACGAATAAAGGGATAGCGACTGAACCGTTTAGATATATATGCACTATAAAACAAAGCAAAGCTGAAGACAAAAGAAACAACAAAGACATCAAATCTCCCCAGACCACATAGCCATGGACCTCCAACTATCATCTCTGGTAGCTCTTGTTGTAGTCACATTTGCCTTTTCACTATTTATCCGCTCCCGATTTTGTAAACCAAGAGCAGTCAGAAAATCACCACCACTGGCTGGAGGTGCATGGCCTATAATGGGCCACCTCCGCTTGTTTAAAAGTCCTGCAGAACCACTTCATATGGCATTGGGTAAATTGGCAGATAAGTATGGACCAATTTTCACTATAAAGTATGGAGTGGAGAGAGCTGTGGTTGTGAGCAGCTCGGAAATGGCGAAAGAGTGTTTAAAGACACATGACAAAGTCTTTTCTAGCCGTGTACAATCGGTAGTCTCAGAAATCCTTGGCTACAACTATGCCTTCTTTGCATTCAGCACCTACGGCCGCTACTTTCACGAAATTAAAAAAAAGGTCATGCACGAGCTCTTCTCCAACCATCGCATCGAGATGCTCAAACACGTTAGAGAATCCGAAGTGAGCACATCGATCAGAGAAATATACGAGCAGTGGACGAAGAACAAGAAGAGTGGTGGTTCAAATGAGGTGGTGGTGGAAATGAAAGAATGGTTTGGTGACATAAGTGAGAATGTGATTTTTAGGATGATATTAGGGCAAAGATGTACTGAAGCTAAAAATTACGCAAAGAACCCCTTGCCAGGAGAGTTGATGGGGAGAA